TACAGTTCCAACAACTCATCTAGCGACTTGTCTAGCCACAAGTCTGGCGACTCGGCGATTCGCCATAGTGCCAGCGAGGAGGAGGAGGTGGTTGTGGTGGCGGAGGTGCCAGTAGTCGTCGTCAAGGAGGAGGACGACAGTGACATCGATGGTGAGAACGTTGATAACTTCCCCGCCATTCCGCTGGCCTTCAAGGAGGAGCTGGAGGGCAGCGAGAACGACGGCAAGACGTTGATAACTTCCCTGCCATTCCACCAGGCTTCTCTCCGACGCCGTGCTACAAGAAGTGCAAGATCCCTCCATTCCCGCCCATCGAGATCGTGTCTGATGATGATGACGAGGAGGACCATGATAAGTCATTCGATGACACTGCGTCGAAGGCATCCTCCTCCTCTAGCAGTGGCGGGGGCAGCGGCGTCGAGCATGACTATGTCAATTTTAGGTGTAGTTAGTACTAGTAGCCTAGCCCAGTAGTACAATGGCGGGTGCATTGTAGTGCTTTTGAGGTGTTATTTTTGTGTATTTTAGAGTGCCCTCATCAACATTCCACATGTACCCATAACATTAGAAATCATTTATAAGAAAACATTAGAAATCAATATAAGTATTCTACTACAATGCTTCTTTCTTCTTCATTGTCTCGTGGTCCTTCTTAACTTCTTCCTCCTATCTAAGGAGGAGGCGGGCCTCTAGGCTATCTAAAACTAACGCTGAATCACCGTATCAAACAGCGACAAGAGCTGTCACACCACCGTACTCTTCGCGCTAGAGAAATAATCCAGTTTGCAAACACAACAAAGATAGCACACTAGTTTCGCTGCAATAATGACAACATCCATCCTAGAGGAAATTAACATGTCTATAGACAATCAAACAACATTAGTCCATTTAAACATGTCGTGACAAAGAGATACATCAAATGTAGCTTTATTTTCTGCTCTCCTAATGGCTTCGAGAATAAGGGAACATAAGGAAGATAGTATGGTCTGCTCATGTCCTCTATTAGGACTACGTCTACCATACTGAATGAGACGGGCAGGGATGACATGAACTTTTTTGCGGTCTATGTCATATGCGGTGATGGTTCTTTCCTCCCCAACAAAGAAAATCAAATTTCATTCTGGGTGAACTGCAATCATTGTGTAGTTCGCTTCACAATCCAGGAAACCAAATTGAATACTAGTCTTTCCAAACATATTCAGCATGCTGACAGTATGCTTCAATGTTCATTCATTAGTACCATAGTCTTCAAGGATCCATATTGAAAGCTAGGACATATTGCGACTACCAACAGTACATACATACAAGTGACCCTGAGCTTGATGGATGGAGGGTTGAGCACCACTAGGCCTACAAATTTTTCTTCATGTGTTTCCCTCCATATTCACAGTAAGTATCTGAGAGTACCCCTCTGAATACCCCATAATGTGTAGAAAACCGTTAAGAAACACACTTGATGATATAAAACATGCCACATTAGTACCCTGGCACCATTCAGATTCCTTATAGGTCAATGCTACAGTTTTAGATGAGTAGATCTCCACACCTATGCACTCACCCTCATCCTCCATATATTGAATCACATGGAAGTACGATGAGGCTGTAGGATCAAACCCCAAGCGAGCCTCACAAACATTATGGATGTTAGGCAGCAGTACCTTAAACTTCTAGGTTGCCAGATTGCAGATGACATAGCGGTATCCAGCAGTAGTCCCAAAGCACTAGCATAGGATGAGGCCGTTGCAGCAATCTGAGATAGCTACATTGTCAATGGGGAAGGGCAAGAAGGACAAGGAGGGGCGGTCACCGGTGATGCTGGTGAAGATTCGCTTGCCATTCTTGGTGTCATAGAAGAAGCCGGCCACAGTCTTGGGTAGCACCATACGGTTGTCGAAGATGAGGCCGTTTTAGGAGCAACAGACACATTTGCAGTAGCACAAGGAGCGGGCAGGGAGGTGGCGGAGAATCTCGAGAACGACATCGTCTGTGAGGCTAGCCAATGCGTTCCTCTTGTTGGGGGCCTCCTCCATTTCGAAGAGCCTATGATCGTCAGTGTGTGGTAGGATGAGAGCTTCCTTACTAACACGATCTAAAGAGGAAAATAATCCCACAAAGATCCATCAGTGAAGTGCGAAAGCATACCCTTGCCTTTGGATGTGGCGGCGACACGACGTAAGGCGTGCAATGGTTCACACAAATTGTGAGAGAGGAACAATGTGTCGGTCGTGCGGGAGGTGGCCGCGATGCGGCGCGAGGCATGCAATGGTTCACACAAATTGCGAGAGAGGAACAATGTGCTAACCTTGAAGATGGAGAAGTGGAAGTATATAATGGTGATCCATTTGTGTTGTGGGTAGTTGGGAAATAACTCATGCTAAATTTACCGCCACTAGACCAAACGGTCCTATAGGAACAGTGGCCATAACACTTATCTCAGTTGCCTCGGCTTTTCATATGATAAAGAAAATGCAACCCCAATGCCCTGCTGCATTTATTGTTAACCCATCGGTGGTAGAAGTTTCAACTGCCAGTTTCATTCCATAGGAGGCCTCGCTATCGATGCAACTGACGGTGGAAGTATCACACCGTCGCTTTTATCTCTACGACAGTGAAAGTAGCGACAGAGGTAGTTCAATCTGTAGTAGTGTAGCTGCACAAAGTCATCATAACCTCAAACCAAGCCCCTAACCTTAGCCAACCTTCGGCACACCACTCAGCCTCATACCACGCCCAAAACCAATAGACAACAAATCTCCGTTGTCCGAAGGTCTGCAAACCTCACCTTGGCCACCCACCTACAAACCCATATATTTACCCAAGTTCAACGGGCAGACAGACCCTCGCCAATTCATAATGAGCTTCGAAGCAGCTGTAGCCTCCATCGGAGGAAATGACACAGTACTCGCAAAGTCCTTCGTCATTGCGGCGGAGGGGGATGCCCTGGCCTACTACTCCATGGTAAGGCCCAAGTCAGTATATTCATTGGAGGACCTTCATGTTCATCTAACCTAGTGTAAGATTGGGAATAAAAACCCAAATACTCATGCAATAGAAACATACATCTGATGGTCTTAGATTCTTGATGAAGTCCTGCAAAATCAATGCGAACTTCCCAATCATCCACGGAGACCCATCTAAGGCATACTGTTTCTCAGTTTCTCCACCTACCTGTCAAAATCTGCTATAAATAGGTTATATCCCTTCTCCCCTATAGATCGCACTCCCAGGCCCTTAGGGTTACCCCACGCCGGTCGCATAGCTTTGAAGATCATTGAAATATGAATAGGCTTAGGGGCCTGGACTTTCCCAATTAGTGACCACTCCAAGATCACCTCTTGCGATCCCTCATCGCACCGCCTCCTTTCCTCCGCCCTCCGTTGCTGGAACACTCACCATGAGTTTGTCTAGATGGATAGATCCAACCAGAGCACAACAGTTGACTGCATGTAGTCGGTCACTAGAGATATAACACTAGTAGTTCGAACTTGATCAAGCGAGCCCAAAATCCTTGGAGGAAAAATAGTTCATTGAGTAGAAGAACCCAGCCATGAAAATTTGGTGGACGACGGCTCTAGAGTGGCAACCGTTGGGCGAGATGGTGGACAGCGGTGCCGGAGTGGCTGCCATCGAATCTAAAACAGTTTAGAAGGTGGACGAATTAGATTGGGGACGGAAAGCCTCTCCTAGGGCACCCTCCATGAAATACGGAGCATCATCATGTATTTCTATATCATAGACATCGTTACTTACCTACTGCTCTAATGCTCAGACCCACGCGGCCGGTTCAGATTCAAAGTCCAACAGGATGGCCGCTATGAGTTTAAACCTGGGTACCCGAAGTAGCGGGACAAGAAGCCATCTAGCATCACTCACAACTGTGCCAGGCACAGTAGCGCTTTGAGAGCGGTCGCTACAATGCCCTCATCGATCATCACCATCTCAGTCGTCACAAGGAGACATGGAAGCAAGGGCTATGACAACGAACGACACATGTCACACCTTTCAATCCATGCCACCTGGGGAAGAGAGAGCTCAAGTGGGAAGAGAGATAATAGAGCCGAGACGAGAGAAGAGTAAGGAGGGAGGTGGAGCTGATTCGTGGGTCTCTCATGTCAGGCATACAAAGTACTCCCTCCAGGTTAGTAAAAAAAGTTATTTTGGACAGCGACACGGTCTCCATAGCATAACTTTGACAACTTATTTTTATAAAAATATTTATTAAAAAGTGATATATGTATATATTTATGAAAGAATTTTTCAAGATAAATCTATTCACATGGTTTTCACATTTCCAAACTCAATGACCAAAAAATTATTCATGATTTATATTACTAATGTTTGACTTAAACCTTGTCCAAAACGATTTGTTTTACCAACCTGGAGAGAGTACGGATTTTGACTGGCTCCGAGACCCGAACAATGTTTCGGCACCTAAATGAGGGCTTAGAGAGTTTTAGAATTGGATTTCAGCCGAACAAGATTAACAAACGTAAGTGATTCCGGTAGTGTTGCGTATACTCATTCACATGGACTGACTACCCTACGTGGCGCAAACATAGTTGGAAGCATTAGCCCATATCACGAATCTGCAAATTATGAACAGCCTGCGTAAGCCCATATACACCCTCGAATCAAAAAGAAAAAAAAAAGCCCCTATAAGAAATTATAAATGCACGTATCTGGGAGATTCCACTCAAAAAAAAAAAAAAGAAGAAAACGTATCTTTTTTTTGGGGAGATATCTCCCACCTCCACCTAACAAAAGAATATCCGATCGCGCTATAAATGGAAAGCTTCGAAAACCTGGTTCCTCCCGAAACCCTCAGACGTCTGTCGTCACGTCTGCCGTCAAAGTCGTCAGTACGCTCCTGTCTCCCTTTTCTTTCTCCATTTGCTCGGCAGCTCGGGCGGCGCTCCCATTCCAGCTGTTCGCCCGCCGCCGCCGCCGCCAGATTCTTTGCCGCTCGTCTCGTTCGCACTCTTGAAGTCTTGATTGGAACCATGGAGCGGCAGCACAAGAAACCAGCGGCCAACACCGCCGCTTCCTCCCCTGCCAGCTCAGGTTCTTCATCCTCCTCTCGCTCGATTCACGGTTCCATGTCGTCTGCATTCCTCGGCGTGTCGTCATCGACGCACTCCCAGTCCCAGCGCCGCTCGTCGCCATCGCTTTCTCCGCCGCCGGCACTGGCACCGTTGCCCGGCCTCCTCGCTTCTCGCGGCTCTGCTGCCACTGGCGGCTCCGCGTCAGGTTCGTCGTCATTCCAGTTCCATCAGATCTCGCCTTCGCCAGAGACGGCGGCGAAACGCCGCCCACGCCCAGGCAGCCGCGTCACGCACTCCCTTCCCTCGCCCTTCCTCTCGGAGCTTAGCGCAATCCGTAGGATGGGCACCAACCTCTTCTGTGATCTGAACGCGCAAGAAATGACCCAGCGCCCGTTGCTCCACGGCCAGCAGGAGCAAGAAATGACGCGGTCGTCGTCGTCGTCGTTGACGATGCCCCACTCCCATCATCATATGCCCATTCCCATCGGGCACTTTTCCGGCTTTCCGTCCGCGTCGCAACAGCAGCAGGCTCTCACCATGCGAGGCCTCCCTGGATTCGCGCCACCGCCATTGCAGCAACAGCAGGCGCAGCCGTTGTTTTCTAGTCTGCTTCCTCTGCCTGGTGGCAACTTCTCCGGGTTCCCTTTGCCAGCATCGCAGCCACAGCAGATGCAGCCATCCTCCTCCTCCACCACCGATCTGCCCAGCAGGACCTTCTCTAGGATCGAGCCGCCAGCGGCATCGCAGCATTTCTCCACTTATCTGGCGCCTCTTCCTAGCGGGGGCACCATTTTCCAGTCCTCTTCATGCTCGGCTGACCACGCGCAGACATCATCGGACACAGAGCTGCCTTCATTGCCGCCGAGCCTAGAAATACGACACTATGATCTGCCGCCGCCGCCGCCGTTTGGGCAGCTATCACAGAATAACGGTTCATCCACTGAGTCTAGTACTGGTTTCGTGCAGCCTTCATCGAGTTCAGAGATGTATGAGTTGCCCCCATTGCCCGAGAGCCTGCAGATGCCACCACTACTGTTACATCAGGTAAAGCAAGAGCCCGTTGTCGTTGCTCCTTGCCTTGAGCCCGAGATTATTTCACTCGACGATGGCGACGAGCTCAGTGCTCTTGTGCACTCATTTGCATCGTCTCATGGTCATGGATCAGCGAGCCTTCCCAATCACATGCACGAGCAGCCCACCAACTTAGAACTAGAAGGCATGCACAGGCTACAGTTGGGCGGTAGAGGCAGTGAGCAGAGCATGACGGGCGCCGCCGAGGGAGTTGGTGTTGGGCAAACCTGGGAGGCCATGCCGACGCCGGCAAGCGTGCATGACAAGGTGAACAACGGCGGCAGTAGCAGTAGCAGTATTCCCTGGAAGTGTCACGGTTCCATGCCCATGTATTCCCGGTCGGAGGAGCAAGCACTACAACAGCTGAGCGACCTGCTATCTCTGTGGTCATCTACTGCGAGCAGCAGCTGCGACCAGAGCATGGGGAGCAGCGTCGCAGGCAGTTGCCAAGGCTCGGCAGCCATGCCGGCGTTGGCCAACAAGTTTGACATGATGAGCATTGACAGCAGCAGCTGTAGTGCCAGGCCACAAATGCCATTGAACTACAGCTCCTTGTCTGTGGAAAACTCCACCCCTGTCCCCGCCGTGCCAAAGCTGACAGTTGGAAGCATGGACAGACCTGAGTTGCCACTACGCCCGCCAGCTCTTGGAGCTGGCGCTAGCAGCAGCATGTCACGAAGGGGTGGCACCAAGGAGCACTTCTTCTCTGAGGCCGACATGGAGAAGATCAATAAAGACAACCGACTCAAGGAGCTCATGAAAACAGAACCAAAGAGGGTCAGGAGGTACACGTTCATTCATGGATTTCCAATATCTCATGTTCAGTGTTGTGCAGTGGCCATGCATGTGTGGTATATATTTATCGAAGTGCTCAACCTTTTAGTTCTGCCTCTGATGTTCTTAATTTCCTCCTTTTCAATTCTTGTTTAAAATTGCAGGATTCTCCGTAACCGGGAATATGTGGCACGATTGAAGGTGCAAAAGGCAAACCACATGCAAGATCTTCAGCGCCGGGCTGATGCACTAAAGATGGAGTGCACGTCATTATCTGCACAAGTGCAGTCGCACCAGGTTTGTTCTGTAGTTGTGTGCTGGCCACAACATGCAGTAATAGCATTATTTCTCAGAGTGACAATGTAGGTTGTTATCCCAGGAGATGGTTGATAGCCTCAAGACTGGGAACCGTGAGTTGCAAATAAAGTTAAAGGGGCTGAATGAGCAAGCCAATTTGAGCCAAGGTGAGCTTGTTCATTATTGCTTGTATTCAAGAGTTGATTCATTTAAGTTTAGATCTTGTAGTGCGTTAGATGATGATATGCATTCTTTGCCAAAATACAATTCAATATTTTAGAGTTCTTTTAAGTTGATGCATGCATGATGGCCGACTGTCCACATCAAGTTGTTTAGTTGTCGGATTGCACATATATAAGGTTTTGCAGCCTATTGTGTATGGAAAAGAAAATGGGGGCATTTACTTGAGACTCACTGTCTCCCTCCCTATACTTGGAGCTCCAACAAAGATAAAAACTAGAAAGACACACGGGTATAATAATAAGGATGAGCAATCTCTCGGTGTGGATTCTCTTGGATTTTTATATTGTTTGTCACACATTTAATTTTGCCTTTTTTGTGTGGCTACTATTCTTAGATTTTGCAATTTGTAGTTGTGTGTGTTGCAAAAAAAATATTTTGTTGCAATGGCTATTTCATTTTTTGCATCAATTATTTATTATTATCATTTGTTGCATTGCACAGAACATAATGGCTACAACGATTCAATATGTTCTCTATTTCAAGTTTTTTTTGCAAAGATTCCACCAGCGTGTCTCAATATGTCAAAAGATATTCTGACCTTCATGTGACCCTTTGCTTAGGACACTAATTATAGATATCTAGATCTAGACATCTAGCTATGTTGTAGAAGCTCTGTTTTTACCTCCTGGTAATGTTTTCAAATAATGGATCATCCCATGGGATGCTTCACATCAAATTGTCAGAGGGTTAGCAGCTCCCATTTTCAAATGAACATGAAAAATATTGTACTTGTTGGATATCAATTTATGATCTTGCTGCATTGGTAATTTACAAGATCCATGCATCATGAATAATTATCAAGTAGTAACTATGTATTGTCTGCTGAAGTATTTTTAAAAGATGAGTTTTTGGTTAGAACTTATATTAGAAGGAAGGATGTACGGAACCTAATCTTTACACTGTTTAATAGCTTCTATTTAGCCTCAAACTCAATTATTAGCTACATAGGGTGAAATTACATGTTGTACTAGATGGTTCTAACTATTCTGTGACAGTTGATGTCAACAGCAAGTCCCTCAGTTCATATAGTTATGTTTTTCTTATCACATGCCTGGTATAGTTTTTAGGTTTATGGTTTTAATATTTTTTGTGATTGCACTGAATGTCTTGTTGTCCTTTTTTCAGTTACTCTTGAAAAGGTTTTTTGGTCAATTTCAATGTATATTTACAATTTTTTATTTTATCTTTTGGAACATTAATTTGCAAGAGTAAGTGAATATTAGGAGGTGTGGAAGGGGCCTATAATGGACAAACACAGATTGATATTATAGTGTGACAGAAACTTGAAATAATAAGTTACAATATTTATAGAAAATATATATATATTAGATGATGTGTTACTGTTTATCCATTTCTTTTTCGAAATCAAATTAATTTGACACTGCCAGACTGTGTGGCGTCTTATTCTTGCTTCACATGTTTGACATCACACATATTGTGAATTATGTGTTTGAAACATAATATGCTGAGTTTCATATCCACTTTAATATTCTTTGATAATAAAAAACATGTGAAAAATGATCTATACACTTTGATCTGCTTACTCCATGTATTAGAAATGTGGATTATAAGAGCTGCAGTTAATTTATCATTCAAGGGTGTAATAATGCATGTAAGGGTTTTTCATCGATTGGACATTTGCTCCCTTGTTCAAAGATTCATACTCAATAGGCATATATCTGTTGCAATTATGTCTTTTTGTCTCCTAGGTGTGACCCTACTTCATCCATGTTTACAATATTTTTCCCTTCTTATTTATAAATTTATATTTTCAAATAATTCTGTAACATGGGGTTGCTAATCTTTATACAGCTCTAAATGATCAGCTACAATCTGAGACCGAGAGATTAAAACTTCTTTAGCTCAATATGCTTTGTGCCAATGGCATACACAATCCAAAGAGCTCGCAGATGGCTGGTTGGAGTGGTTCATCCGCCAATGGTTTGCACCAACTGATGGATTCCCATGTGAATGATCTAATTAGCTCACACTAGCTTCAAACACAGGAACACACACCACAACTGCAGCCAGAACAGCAGCCACATCAAACTGTTGATGACGAGTTTATGGATCAATAGCAGCACGCATGGAAGTTTTGAAATATTTTTTTTTAGACATTTGATTTCTGGAAGCATGCTTCATAATTAAGGAGTATTCTTGTTGGATTTTGTATGTGTGGGAATGATATTTATCCTTGCTAAGTTCTATTTCGTTGGTTTGAACTTATTTCAGTTGTTTATTGTAGTTTATCTATTGTATATATTTTCTTTGGAACTTATTTTATTTAATTGTGTCTAATTTACTTTGATGGGTTATTGCATTTATCCTAGTGCATGGACATTCTTTAAAATTATGTCTTGATTGCTTTAACCACAATTTTAGGTTTTTGAAAGATTTTAACAAATGTGTGAAATTTTTTCTATACATTTCTCGCATGCTTCTATTCTCTTGAAGCTATACCCTGTTGTTGCCAAACATAGAAATGGCCCTGTTACCAATCGCTAACACTATAGGGTATGGTGGTCATTAGATCAAACCGATAGTTTAGTGGTCTTTCAGACAATTCGGTTGTTGGATTCTACATGTATAATATTTTGCAGAATGTTGTACATGAAAAAATGGGACATTGTGTTGACCATGTCTCTCTCTCCTCCCGCCCCTCCCTATACTTGTAGTGTGTTAGATGATGATATGCTCCACCAAAATACAATTCAGCCAATTGTAGCTTAATTAGAGTTCTAAGTTGATGCATGTATGATGGCCGACTCTCCTTAGCAAGTCATTTAGTTGTTGGATTGTTCGCGGCCCTTGTATATGGAAAAAATGGGGCATTTCCCTGAGACTCTCTCTCCGTCCTTATACTTCGAGCTCCAACAAAACATAAAACTAGATAGGAAAAAGTCTACTTAACCCCCCATCTTTTATACATGGTCTACTTCACCTCCCAACTATGAAACCATCTGTTTTACCCCCTGAACTTTTCAAAACCGTCTATTTTACCCCCGGACGTTTTTTTACAGTGGTTGCTACAGTAACAACGTGTTTGCTACAGTAATTACAGACAAAATTAGATTTCCCAATTAATCTAAGCTACAGTAAAAATTTTGTACTAAAGCATACCGTATTATATATTCACTGTGTAGATCTACTCATGTGGAGTCCAATAAAATTAGATTTTTCATTTTATGATTTTTCTATGATTTACTATGATTTTTCAAAAATTCACCGAAAATAAATAAAACAAAATTCAAACCCACAGGCACGGTAGCAAACCCACCGTTACGGTAGCAAACCCGCAGTTACTGTAGCAAAACCGCTGTCAAAAACCGTCCGGGGGGGTAAAATAGACGGTTTTGAAAAGTTCAGGGGGTAAAACAGACGATTTCATAGTTGGGGGGTGAAGTAGACCATGTATGAAAGGTGGGGGTTAAGTAGACTTTTTCCAAACTAGATAGATACACTGGTATAAGGATGAGCAATCTCTTGGTGTGTATTTTCGCGGATGATCATATTGTTTGTCATACACTTTGCAATTTTTTTTGTGGCCAGTATTAGTTTTTGCAATTTGTAGTTGTCTGTGTTGCAAAAAATATATTTGTTACAATGGCTATTTCATTTTTGCATTAATCATTTATATTTCTCTCGTTTGTTGCATTGTCCTGGACATAATAGCTACAACAACCCGATATGTTCTCCATTTCAAATTTTGTGCAAAGATTATTCCACCAGTGTGCCTCCATATGTCAAAGATATTCAGACGACCTTCATGATGCGACCCTTTGCTCAGGACACTGATTATAGATATCTGGATCTAGCATCTAGCTATGTTGTAGAAGCTCTGGTTTTGTCTCCTCGTAATATTTTGCAATAATGGATCATCCCCTTGGATGTGGTTCATGTAGGGACCTGCCACGTTAATTTACCTAAATCAAGTGTCATGCACTTGACCAACCCAATTTAAGTAAACCAACCTTGGTGATCCCCGAGAGACGCTATCCACATCTCCACTACATCGATACTATAGTATCCCAATTGCGTATCATACCACAATAGCCAGCACAAATCAAGATTCCATCTCAACAAATGATTACATAAAATCGGTAGAAACATATATTACAAGTCTTGTTGAATTAATAAATTAATTGTTATAACATAAATGAAGACATTGATTAAACTATGTGTAGTGAGAACTAGACGATTGTCTTACCATATTACACCTACGCTACGAATTACACTCTAACTAGTAACAAGTGGTCGCCTTGCCCATGGGCGCCGCCACAATGGCTAGGACGGCTCCTGCCATTCACCCACTTCGCCAGAATCCATGGGATGATATGGCCGCCAATGTCCTATAGGTACCTGCAAAAAAACTTAACAAATGCATCGTGAGTACTGAAGTATAGGACTTACCCAATATATAAACAACGGATTATGCATTGGCTTTAGCAAGGAATAAAAGTTTGGTTGCATAAATAGCATTTTTGCATAAAGTAAATGTTATCTATCAACTACATCTAAGCATAGCAAGTTATAGCATATATGAGCATTAAGCATAAAATGAAGCTTGATCTTCCATGATCCTTCAATGTCACTGCTCTGAATCTAGAAGTAAGAACAACCAAATATGTCCGAAGACTTCAGACATTCAAATAAAACTCTGCAGATGTGTACAACTATATCCACACGGAAGACTAGATAACCTCCATACCCATGCACTCAGGTAAGGGTTGACTCAAGTCCCCAACCTTTCACCAATGTAGCCAAAATGCCCATGAACGGTAAGGCAATGGCCCAGGAGTTCTCATTACTCTCGACGTATCTCCCATGCCCACCCGAGTCGAGTCCACACGGTTATTCGGTCACCACTAGCTAATTGGCTTGCTGACCCCATCACCAGGATGTGGTCTACACTATGTAAAAAAAGCACATCACAGACACATGTTCAGGCACATCACAGATGACATAACACGTCTGTAATAAGGTCTGTAATAAACACATACTACAGACATGTGTTACCAACAAGCGACTATGACAAAATGAACACGTGTATGTGATAAGCCCTTAATAGAGATTGGTGGGTGTCTACAAGCATCTGCAGTAAGCCCTTATGGGAGACACTTGTAGCCTACACACATCCGTAACAAGATTAAGACGCGTATATGTGAAGAACCATAGTGCAGTCGTGTGTCCGTAGTAAGGATCCTACTGTAGATGACATTTGTAAACACGTCTGTACGAAGAACGATAGTGTAGACAGGTGTTCAATACACGCGTCTATAGTAAGGATACTACTATAGATGACATTTGTAAACACGTCTGTACTGAGAACGATAGTGCAGACGCCTGTTTAGTACACGTGTTTGTAGTAAGGATCCTACTACAGACGATATTTGTAAACGCGTATGTAGTAAATAGCATACTACAGACTCGTATTCTCTACACATGTCTGTAGTATTTTCCTTATCACAGACGGGTCTAGGCTACAGACGTGTCTGTAGTAAGGAAAATACTACAGACGCGTCTGTAGCCTAGACCCGTCTATAGCCCA